TTTGTGTTGACGCAGAATTAAAATATTCTTGAAAAGAATCTTTGTATTCATTCTTTCAATTAACGGTTGATGCAAAATTTAAACAGAAATGTGAAAGCGTTTTTGGAACGTAATATTTGATTTTAGCAAAACCATGAAGAATTTATTTGACTCTTCCACTCTTGAAATTAGAACCAATAGTGTTAAACTATACCTAAAAAATTCCTTAATCAGGGATATATATCTCAAATGGCTTCATCTATCCGATCCATCCTATTTTTCTTACCGTTTCCCGCTTCTGGTCTTCTATCTTAGTAGTCTTATACATCGATCGCTATGTCGATATTCAATAAACCGCCTATGTGTTGCAACATAACCTATTTGATTTTAACATATTTTCAATATTTGGTGCATTTTGGAACTCTGACATAATTTCACTCGTAGAATAGTCCTATTAAATATCACTCGTGCTTTGGAAATTCTCTGATAAATCCCGTCTCGATTCGCAATTTCCAAAGAACTCTTGTTATTGCCAAAGATAAATTATTTTCAAATACTAAAAAAATATCTGTATCAAGAATATTATTTCCTTTTCTCGTATATATGCCGTAATATAAAATGGAGTTGTTGAATATTAGCGATTCAAATATTTTTTCTGTTGTAGGTAGAAAAGTCAATAGATTATGGACTCAATAATATTCTGACAGAAATACTATAAAACCCCAATATTGTAAAAAAAGTATTGCAGTTAATAATTCTGCAAATAAAAGATTTCAGGTTAATGACAGAACTAGGCTTCGAGGAGCATGGTCAAGTTCATGAATATTGCTTTGTGAGATAACGCTCTCAATTTTAGGACTTTGTTCTGTCTTAGAGAAAAAAACACTTTACTTTCACCTGAGGCAAGTTTAGTACATCTCCCTTCGCCCGAAGGCCATGCCTCTATGGGAGCCCTCGCCGTCCCGAGACATTTCCAGAGGTCTGTTAAAGGCCGGGCCAACCCTTGCTTCGGGAGACTCTATGTCTTTGAAAGCCGGGCAGTGTTGGACAAGGGGCTGGCAACTTCCCCTCGCCACCGCCTCGTCGTCCCGAGCCCTCTGCCTCCGCCTCCCTCGCATCATTGACGTGTCGCGGGGGTTTGTTCGGTGTAAGTGGGGCGCCCCGCAGGGGTTGCCCTGCCTGCGATTGCCCCGCGCGCCGTTAGTTGGGGCCGCCCCGTAATGGGGCGAGTAAATGTCAAGCTCCATTTTCTCCGCGCCGCTCCCCTGCGCCCTGCGCCTCCGCCCCGCTGCCCCCGCCCCGCCTCCGCTGTGCGTCGCCCAACACCCACCCCTCTGGGCGCCGATCGCGACATGCTCGCTTGAGTGCGCAGCAGTCTGCGCCCTCGCTCCGCCCCGCTCCCACTCCCATCCCCCTTCCGATTTCTTCGCGGGTTTCCGTCTTTCCTCCCAATTCCGGACGGTGGTGTGGACGGGTCGACATTCCGAACCCCGGCCGCTCTGATACGGCAAACTATGAAATACGTTCATGATCACTTCGAAATGTGCTACATTCTACCCACCTTGTTAGTCAATTTTATACGGAAAACTTGCATTTCATATCGTTCCGTACATTGAAAATAAAATAACGAACGCTGTGTACAATTTAAGTTTATGTACATAAATAAATACACAATGTTTATTATTACATGTGTGTGTATTTCATATATACATTTGTTGTAAATGAATGTATAAATGATAATCAAAATTTGCGTAATATTTATTCTGTGGGAAAACAAACTATTAATAGTTCTTCGTACTTCCGATTTTATTATTGATATTAACCATCCAGAAAGTTTATATATTTGTTATTAAATGATTCTTATTAGCATTAAAGTAGTAAGAAATCTAAACGCACTATCTGTAGTTCATTTACAAAACTACTGCTGCTTTCAGTTCATATTTGCGTAAAATTTATTCTATGGGAAAACAACAGATTATTAGTTCTTCGGGTTTCCGATTTTATTATTGATATTCGCCATCCAGAAAGTTTATATATTTATTATTAAATGGTTCTTAGTAGTAGTAAAATAGTAAGGAATCAAAACGCACTATCTGTTGTTCATTTACAAAACTACTACTGCTTTCAATTCTTGGTTGGACTAGAAAGTTCAACAAAATTCCGCAGATGTTTGTGGCGTTAGTAGAGCTTGGTCAAATTACTATTTAAAATAATATCCAAAAAATGTGTTCAGGAAAATAATATATTCTGATAAACGATGTAAAATATAAAAAATTAATAATTTAATAACAATTAAATTACAAATAAGATAGGAACTTGGTTCTTTGGAAGTTCTTTGAGTTTTCTGCTTTGTAATCTCGATGTTCAAATACTTCAGAGATCTTCCATACATACAGCTGTGGATCAATCTTGTTTGTAAACACTGAATCCAGTAATATATGTATTTTCTCCGTCAGTACTTTTAATACAATGTTTATCTGTGGAAATTTGGTGTGAAATTCCTTAAAAGAAATTCTTGAACGTCTTTGATATTTAGGCCTACCTTTTGCGCAACAGTTACAAAGTGAAAGAGATGTTGTGAACTTTAGAGGTTAGTTCTTGTACATGGTATATAGATTCATAGTTCACGGTATTTTCAAGTGATCTACTTGTGTACTAGGGAAGAAAACATTTTGCCAGAAATTAAAATCAATAAATTATTTCTTCAATAAGAAAATAGAAGATTGATTTCTTTTTCACAAGTGGATATTATCAGAGATTTGATAAGGTTGTTTATTCAGTAATAAATTAATCATAAAAATCATTAGATTCTTGATACTTATTGAATTATTGTGAATGTGTTCATTAATATTTTGATTCTTATGCAGAGGAAATGTTCTCTATTCAAATTATATGAATCACTGAATAACACTGGGGAACAAGTGTTTGAAATTTTTGAAACTTTTGATAAATGTCTGCTGATCCCAAAATGGTATTTTTCTTAACTATCAAGTCTCGCGTGTGAGACATTGTTAATGTTGTGCTGATTTCTAAATTAATTTTTCACCATACTCATTAAATGTTTCTATTTCTGTTTGAAAGTGTAAATTGCATGTTTCCATTGAGAGTGCCCAAAAACATCACATCTTTGAAAAATAATTAGCATATAATTTAGGATATTTAATTGAATAAACGGAATAGTGTGTTTATCTTCCTGTCTGGGAATTAAGACAGAGTGAGCAAATAATGGATGAATACTAACGGTTTGAGAAATAATGTCTTCAAAAACATTCAGCATCTCAATGATGAAATTATGTTACTTTGTCTATGTGTTAGTCTGAGTTTAATAGTATCTCCAATATGCAAAAATCAAAGAAGAATAAGATATTGAATGTAGAATTTAGTATAATTTTCAAAATACTCAACCTCAAAATCAGATTGATACTTTTCTTCAACAAGAATTGTGGTGCCTAGTGAAACAAAGCATTGTCAAGGTTGCAAAGCATTTTACTTTGTGATTGTTATGATTTTAAATGACTAACCAGACTGTCATTCACATGAGTATTTCTGTATTAACTACAAAATCTTCAAAATTATTTTAAGAAATAATTTCCTTAGTAGTTTTGAATTATTGCCATTTTATTTGCATTATTTATGAATTATTTGCATCTTTTAAAAAATCCTATTGTTGATATAATTAGGTATATTTATTTGACAAATCATATTAATAACGGTTTTGATTTAGCAGAACACAATGATAAAATATTCCTGCAATAGCAAACAATATTTTTTGCATTTAATGAAACTTATCTTTTAGTATTTTATTTTTCAATTTTTTACAATTTAACACACTCTGTGTTTCCAACATTTCATTAAGCAAAAACTAAGAAAAATAGTAATATAACTGTAGATTTATTCATTAAAATCAAATCCATGGCGGATTCTTAAATGTATAAAATCTAAATCATATAACAATATATCCAAAAATTTATTTTTTCCGTGCTTCTATCTCCTTGTTTGTAAGGTGGGAGATGAACAAATCCACAAAGGTATCTATTGACACTTCCCAAAAGACAAGTTCAGATCATCAAAAATAATATAAGGCATGAACTTTCGATTATACTCTACTTCCCAATGACGAATAAAGTACAAAAGGATAGAATTTATACATCACTATCGAAAAACAACAGTTGTGGCTGTAGGTTCAAAAGTGATGAATGCATGCCCATGTAAATTACAGTGCATTTGTAATATACAACAACATAATATACATAATAATAATATACAATAATAATAATAATAATAATAATAATAATAATAATAATAATAATAATAATAATAATAATAATGTAATTCTCTACATTTCAAACCGTTTAAAAGGTTATTAGAAGACAGGAAGAAATACTTTAAAAGATGCGAATTGGGGTAGTGGGAAAATGAGAAAGTTATTGTCAGAAGTACTTCTTTTATTTCTTAATAAAATGAGACACAGTTCATTGCAATAAGTACAAAAACAAAATACAGTAAACCTTTCCATGCCACCAGACCAAGAAGACCATCTCAGTAAAGTAGAATGCAGTCTTTGTGAGTTATAATAGCGAGTAATCGGATATTAAACGCATAATCAGCATTAACAGGCAATTACGTGATTACCGTTACTGCGCGTATTTACAGTCTTTGTTTACTTGCAGCGTACACAAACGAAGCCGTCGGAACGCCGTCTCCACGCCGCACTTGTGTCAAGAGTTGTTCCCTCTTTGCGGCTTGCTTTGCGTGCTCCAAATAATTCTTTTTATGAGCTCCCACGTTAATCTGAGTCGGAAAAAGACGTTTAAGAGTCCATAAACCGATTAAGCCCACACTGCGGTCTATTTACGCAACTAATTTGCACACGCCGGGAGTCGGCCTCGGTGGGTGCGCTCGCTGGCGGCCCGGGATGAATGGAGGCCCCACAGCGCCATTCACCGCCGCCTGAATCACATGGCGTCTTCAAAACACTCGCGCCGGCCCCATAAACGCGATCACGTGTTTGGCCGGCCTTTGGAGGGCGGCGGCGGCGCGCGCGCCAGGAGACCGCCAGCCCTCTTGATGGCATAATAAAGACATAAAGCTTATTTTATTGACTGCTGCAGTTGTAAATGTGATGGACTATCAAGCTTCACTCGGCCGTCTCGCGGCAGGGGTTCTGGGGTTCTGCCTCCGTCTCGCTCCTCATCACCCTCCCCGTCTCCGAGGCTGCTGCCAGTTGCTTCTTCGTTGGAATGTTCAAGTAGAACGGTGGAAGAGGCTGTCATTGCTTCTGAAATTTTTATCCGAGGAGGACCGCTCGTGCAGATGGTGTACCTGGAAAATATGGTAACACGCATGAAGGAATTATAAATAAAGGTCAATAAACCATTTGCTATTTTCACCTTCAGCAACTAGTCAGCTGTAGTTAATGCATTCAGATGGTGAATGTGGAGGTAGTTATAATTAATTTTACATAATGTGTCATGTTTTATGCATTTTTATGGCCATTTTAATTAGAAGAAACAAACGAGAATCTCTCTATGCAATTTTTTTCTGTATCTTCATTAGTCGCACATGCAGACACATATAACATATATAATTATGATTTGATGATTTCAACATTTAGTCAGTGAATGGGCCCTTCATGTGCACCATGAGAAATTACATTAAAATATTTATTTCTAAAGCGTTGAAGGCAATAATATCAAAAAGTGACAATACGTTTGCATTGAATAATAATTACTTCTTTTGAAAGTTTAATTCCTTCAGTTCTGATTTTCATTCAAGACAAGTCTCTAAAATAAGATTAACGGTATGTTTGTTCATACTTGTGGGGGATATGACAATAGCCTCTGGGGAAGTTCCATTTGTATCAAATAAGTGAAATATTTAATGTTTTTCAAGACAAATGCTTTTAAAAGTAATTTGATGAACAATTTTTTATCTTGATGGAATGGTTTTCAAGAAAAGTTAAGACAAATTATACTTCACAAATAAAAATATAATACAATTTTATACGAGAGGTAATTGCTTAAATACAGCAGATATGCAATTATTTGTTTTTAAATAATTGCTAAGTGTCTGTAATAAACTAGTAAAGGCTTTTATTAATAAATATATTTAATGTCAAAAACAATTATATTGCTGCCTGGCATGAGGGGGCAGCTACACATAAGAAATTCGAAGCAAGGCAAGCGATTAGCTGATAATTTGCTCTGAAGACCAAGAGAAACTGAATGATAAACAATTGTATGATGGTCGGGAAATATTATTTGTTTTTCTTATTATTCTATTTAACTAATCTACACTTCTGTAAACGGTTATTACTCTGTCGTTATTCCAATGCAATTTTAGAATGAACGTTTTACTATAATTTGATACAAGTAATTTATATATTAAAATTCTTCTGCATTTTTTCTTTTACATGCTAGAAGCGCAACAATCAAATTTGTAGTACTACAATACTTGCTTTATTTACTAATATATTTACGAAAAATCAGAATGACAAGCATCCATTAAAAACTAGGCATAAAATCAATAAAAATATAATAAACTGTAAAAATGATTACACCCTAGATAATCTGAAAATAACATTGTTTTAAATTTTCTTATTTACCTTTTACTTCTGGTCCTTTCAAGGTCCTTTTGGGCTTTTTTAATGTATTTTTAAATAATTTGTATCAGAGACTGAGAATGAAATAGCTGATTTTCTGAGTTATTGTATTCATATGACAAAAGTTCAAAATATCTTACGGCAATACCAAAATTATGTCCATTTTAAAAATTATATTAATTTATAGTTTCTCCCAGTAGTGTACATTTGCAAGATACTTGATACAAAACAGTCTTTAAATAAAGTAATTTAATGCAAAAATTTCAGCTCCTTGTATATTTTCATATTTTAAAAACTGAAGTGTTTGTTAATATCTTTAAAATGATGAAAATAAGTAGAAAAAGCAAATAAAAATACAAATCATTGCCTTCTTTCCGGTATATTTTCTATAGCTTTGTTTAATTATTAATATGCGAGTGGATAAATCATTATCATTATCTTAAAACTAATTATAACACAATGCTATCTAATCATACATCATATGAGTCATCATTTTGGTAGTTTTGAAAATTGAAAACTTAACAATAATTATGTATCTTGCGTAAAACGATATCTATTATACATATATTTGTAATAGGTATTCATCATGAATCTCTTTCGAAGTGCCCATAAGAAAGTTATAGACTTTCAGTCTTACTTCCTGTCATTTTTTTTATTTTCTTCCTAATTGTTGCGCTACTGTCGTATGATGGCTAGTAAAACATGTATTGAGTGAAATACGACGTTTATACATTTTACGTTAATTCAATTCGAAGAAATAACTTGAAATTAAATGAATTATTAAATGCATGTTTTTCAATTACTTAACTATCATTTTAGCTTCACTTTGTACTTTTATTAGCACTACAGTATTTTTGTGGAACGAAACTCGTAGGCACTACACCTTTGAATTATTTGATTTTATTACCCTATGGCTAATTTTGTTCAATATCCTTCATATTAAAGTAAACCATATGAATTTTTCAAATACATATTTTAATTATCATAATTGGTTAAATAATAGATTTTGTTATTTACTGTTGCTCTGCAATGCAAACTTTGCCTGGCAAAATTTATAATTTTTGTTTCATCGATAGGTTTTATTCAATGACAGTTATGGTAAGCGTCAGACAGGAGTGATATTTCATTCTATTATTTTCTTTAAGTTAATTTTAGAGATATTTAAAATTTATGCAAAAAAACAATATAAAAACATTGTTTTGTAATACTACTACTGTTTATGAATAAACTAAATATTACTCTCAAATTTATTATTGAAGGATTGATGGCTATTTGTGGTATCTAAATGCATTATTGTTTTAAACTAATAATTTTCAAGTAATTGTTCGTCGAATTCACATTACTATCCTATTTGAATAGTCTAACAGATGCTACACCATGTAATATCTTTGTAAATAAACCTACTTTCCACCTGTCATACTTTGATTTAGCAACCACCACAACTGTTTCTTCCACCGTATATTAAGCCATCATAGAATTCGAGGCATTTAGTATGACATTAGTTGCCACACGGACTTAACGTTAATTAGACATCTGAAGAATTCTTGTTAACAAGAATGGAAGAGTTGTTTGAAACTCAGGTCTGTCTCATATGACAGAAACGAGAAAATAAGAATTTCGCTCGCAAAAAGCCTGTATCATTCACTCTTTACAAATCCCGCAGCGAACGCAAAAAGCAGACATGCGCGCAAGGAAACACGCATGGGGAGACAATAACCGCGACAGGTTCGTATGAAAACCGGGATACGGCCTCCAATTTATTGGCAGCTAACGAAGTGTACCGCGGCGGGGGCGGGGCGGGGGCGCGGGCGACGCGCTGCCCGGGGACCCATAATCGGCGAGTGCGCATTACAGTGAGCGGGGCCGTTCAGGGCGGCAGCGGTCGCGCCTGCTGCGCGGGGGCTATTAACAAGGTCGGAACGGCCGCTCCGTTGCGCGGGAGATTTACGGCTTCGAGGCCGCGCGACGCGGACCGACAGCCACCGCCGCCGCCGCCGCCCCGGACGAGAGTCGAACCGCGGAGCGACGGGGAAGCGGCCGCTTTAATAGCCGGTGTGGATGCTGTGCTGTCTTCGCCTCTGACGTCGCAGAAACGCATCGGAAATTCAACCAATGTCGCGTTACGGTTTGGATGTACTCAATGAAAAGGAACAAGCAATTTAAGAAGAAACTGCTTACATATCCTTCTATTATTTTATGGATTAATTTCTGATATACATGCCTGATACGTTTCTTTTGCAGTCCTTACTGTTTAGAATACAGTCCTTACTGGTTTCCTTATAAAACAGCTAAAACCAATGTAATTCCAGAATAAAATAATAAAAGCATATTAGTGAATTACTTAAAAAAACAACTGCATAGACTCTAGTTTCGTTTTATATACTGCGCCATGGGCACGTGTCCTCGTAAAACGTGTCCTTAAAAACGGGTTTCTTTGGACGACATAATATGTTACATATTGTGTGTAACGTATGTAATATATTATGTTATGAAAATCTTCATTTTTAATTGTTAAAATAGATAAATGATTTCTAGCTTCTGAAAATTCGAATATTTTTTGTATTTTCAACTCAACTTTCCATATTTATCATATGTACAACTTTTTGAACTTTGGTCAACAATACCTTTTTGTTACAAGTTTCCTTTTGTTACAAATTTCCTAAAAATATTAGTAGTAAGTTTAATAAAATCGACCCTTCTCAAATGTGAAATAAAAAAATTATTAGTTTTTCAATTTGATTGCAATATCAAACCTCAAGAAAATTATTATTCAAATTTAAAGGTCTGTATTTCTGAACATTATCGCTGTTTCCCTTTACATATTCGTTTAAATGTAATCCGGCAACTTTTTACTTAAGAAACAGCAACACTTATACCAATAATATCAACCACCTCCTAAATAATATAATTTGTGAAACCATGAGCAATTGAACATTTAATTCATTTTATTTTACAAAAGTAAATGAAGGCAATAGTCGAAACAAGTGTTAATTTCAGAAAACCAGAAAAATAACTGACCTTACTGAAGAAGCAACACTGTTGCAATAGAAATGTTCAGTCCATTTCGCTCACAATAGTTGGTATACAGTGCAAATTTAGCGATTGTTAACCATTTGATACTGCACGTATAACGAAAATATAGTATAAGCATGTTTATTGCTCGGTTTTGTGACAGACCCATTTTGTGAAAAATGCAAGCACGTCGACATTTTTTCTTTAAAATATTTCAACTCCACTAATCGAAGAATGACTGGACGTGAGGGCAGCATGTGCTGTTGATAGACCGCTGACACTCAGCATTTTGCGTACGCCTTGCAGTTCTCACATTTGCCGTTTGCACGCCACTGGAGTAACAATTTTGAACCACAAAGGACATGAAATAGGCTGAACATCTAGTCAAGTGTACGGAGGTCAATAAACATCGTTATTTCTATGATCGGTCGAGTCAATTATTTTTCTAGTCGACTAATATGTGTTAATTTGTAATAGAATAATTGTTATACGAGGACTTTCTTACCACTGAAGCGTTTGCTTACAAAATTTGTACGAATACTTGGAGCGGCAGAAAAAGGCGGCCAGAGTTCGGTTCAGAATAATTCCCCCACATGTGTTGTTTTTTTGTTGTAGCTCTTTTTCATGATTTAGTTAAACGCACTTCCCAATGCATCTAGAAGGTATCTTTTCGGGCAGGACCGAATAAAGCGGGCAGAGGGGTAGAAGC